AATCAAGTACAGAACTAGAAATAACTGATTCAGATACGAGTCCACAGAAATCTGAATTCATACAATTAGAAGGGCTTCCTGATGTTACCACTCAAGAGTTCATACAAGACAGTTCAAGCACTTCAGTACCCACCACTTCTACACAAGATAGTGCAGAGCCAAGTGAACCAGCTGTTCGCAGGTCTTCCAGGACTATAAAGCCTCCACAACGGTTCACACTTCTACTGAATTATATCTTGCTGACCGATGGTGGTGAACCATTAACTTATGAAGAATCCTTACAAGATGGAAACTCGAGCAAGTGGGAGTTAGCCATGAAGAACGAGATGGAGTCATTGCTGAAGAACAAGACTTGGGAGTTAACCAAACTGCCTGAAGGAAAGAAGGCCTTGCAAAACAAGTGGGTTTACAGAGTAAAGACCGAGCATGACGGAAGCAAACGGTTCAAAGCAAGACTTGTTGTAAAAGGGTTTCAGCAAAAGAAAGGGATCGACTATTCTGAGATATTTTCTGCAGTTGTGAAGCTTACAACGATCAGAGTTGTTCTGGGGATAGTAGCTGCAGAAAATTTACATCTTGAACAATTAGATGTAAAAACAGCATTTCTTCATGGAGAATTGGAGGAAGACATTTACATGCAACAACCAGAGGGGTTCGCAATACCAGGAAAGGAGAATCAAGTTTGCAAACTAAAGAAGAGCCTATATGGTTTGAAGCAAGCTCCAAGACAGTGGTACAAGAAGTTTGATAACTTCATGTGTAGTACGGGATACACAAAATGTCAGGCTGATCATTGTTGCTATGTCAAACATTTTGACAACTCCTATATCATTCTACTGCTATATGTGGATGATATGTTAATTGCAGGTTCCAGCATGGAAGAGATTGACAAGCTAAAGCAACAGTTGTCAAAACAGTTTGAAATGAAGGATCTGGGAGCTGCTAAACAAATACTTGGCATGAGAATCATCAGAGACAAAGACAAAGGCATACTAAAGCTTTCACAAGCAGAGTATGTCAAGAAGGTTCTTAGTAGGTTTAGTATGGATAATGCTAAGCCAGTATGTACACCTCTGGGGAATCATTTCAAGCTCAGTAGAGACCAGTCACCAAAAACTGAGCTAGAACGTGGATACATGGACCAAATTCCATACGCCTCAGCTATCGGCTCTTTGATGTATTGCCATGGTCTGTACTAGACCAGATATTGCTCATGCAGTGGGAGTTGTAAGTCGATATATGAGCAATCCTGGAAAGCAGCATTGGGACGCAGTGAAATGGATCATGAGGTACTTAAAAGGCTCATCGGAGACATGTCTTATTTTCACAGCTGGCGGTTTGAAACTTGAAGGCTTTGTAGATGCTGATCTAGCAGGAGATGTTGATAGCAGAAAGAGTACTACAAGTTATATATACACTCTAGGAGGCACTGCTGTTTCTTGGAGTTCTACCTTGCAAAAGATAGTTGCTCTTTCAACGACAGAAGCTGAATATGTTGCAGTTTCAGAGTCCGCAAAAGAGATAGTATGGCTACAAAGTTTCCTGCAAGAATTGGCCAAGATGCATGGAAATGGTACTTTGTATAGTGACAGTCAGAGTGCAATCTTCCTTGCCAAGAATCCAGCATTTCACTCCAGAACAAAGCACATATAGATCAAATATCACTTCATCAGGCAATTGCTCGACGATGAACAACTGTTACTTGAAAAGATTTGTGGAAGCAAGAATCCAGCCGACATGTTAACCAAAGGAGTTACTCTCGATAAACTGAAGCTGTGTAAAGCTTCAGTGGGTCTTGAAGATTAAAAGACAGACCTAACACCATTTGTGTCCAAGTGGGAGATTGTTATGTGTGTGGACACAAATGGACGGTGGCAGCCATGGTTGGTGGCAGCCATAGTTGATGGCAGCCATGGTTGGTGACAACCATGGTTGAAGTCATAGTCAAATGGTAGGTGCCTAACTTGCCCACCATTGTTGAACAATCATCTCCCTCCTCAGCTATAAATAGAAGATGTATTGATAGCTGAGATAGACCACGAGATAGAGAGAAACACAGAGAGAGAGCTAAGGGTGAGAGTTGAGTTGAGTTGAGAAGTTTTCTCCTCCTCCTTGTTTTGTTGTTTGTATTGCTTTTGAGCTTGATTAATACAAACCAGTAGCTCCGTGGAGTAGGCAAGTTGTCGAACCACGTAAATTTATGTGTGTTTGAATGTTTGGATCTCCTAACAGAGAGTCCACTGAAAAGAAAACTACCTGAGTACCGATGCCTGCAACTAGCCCTGCGGTCTAAAGCCAAGCACAACTCGATGATGCAAATGGACCCAATCTGGGGCCAGCTAAATGAGCAGCCCGGAGATAGACAGATCCGGTTCTGTTTAATTTGAAACAAAGAGAATGTTAGATTCCTGAAACTTGCTGCAACGGGTATGCAAATAGTTTAATCAGAGCATGAAACTTTTAGATAACGTATTCAGTTTTGTTTTGAGAGATCACTGCTTGAAACATTCCAGTCAAGGAGATCATTTCCTCTTAAGAATTGTCACCCATGTATATTCTCTTAGACTAGCAAGCTTTTTGCAGAAGCAGCATTCAATTCACAGATGTAGAATTTGATTTGAGAAAAAATTGGATAAACAACAACTAAAACATAGAATCATTAAGAAGAGAGAGGGAATTTTAGAAGGAACAGGCTTGAAAAGAGGAGCAGATCTAAGCCATTGGAATACCAACAAGTCAGGTGAAGAAACAACAACCCATCACCAGACTAGACTTGCAGACCTGCATATAAAAGGCTTGCCCATTAGGAGGAGTAATCCTAGTGAAAAGGGAATGATAATGCAAGAATTTTGAACAAAGTCTGCGATATAAAAGGAAAAACACCATACGTACATCTGCATATGTGATGTAAAAGAAATCTAATAAAATCCCATCAAAAGGATAACATAAAAACATTCCTTCAACAAGAAATAATAAAGAACCACCAGCCACGCACAAAAGAAGAGCAAAACACAATACAGCAAGGGAATCCAGATTCAAGACCAATATCTCTTCTGAGCTCTTGCTTGTATCTTAGTTCATTGTGCCGCTTCTCCCCAGGATCCATTTATTGGACTTGGTTTTGCCTCTGGTTGTCTACGCTCTTTGGCATCAAGATATTATCTCCAGGAAGTTGGTTCAAAACAGGACAGAACTAGTTATACAAGTGGTTCCCTTCACCAAAGTTTTCAAAAAAAGAGAAGAGAGGGGGGTTGGCTTGTGCTTGCTTTATACCATGAATCTTCGTGGCTTTTAATGTAAGTATTAAGTCCAAGTTTGCTGTTGTCATGCTTGAGTTTTCTTTGTTGATTCCCTCCAAACAAATATAATAACAGCTGCATATTCATTATTCACACGCATCCTAGCATCCAGTTTCACATTTCTCTTTCAATGATTCTTCTATTATGTATATGGGGTATCGGGATGAGTTTCACAATAGAATGGTTCTATTCTTTGATGAAAATAATAGTGGCAACATCTTTAAATATCTGAAGACTGGACAGATTTTCTCAAAACATGGTGAGATGGCAGGCGGTGGATACATGTGAACACTAGTAGTTTTCTCTTCCGTAAGTTTGACTTCAGTTAACGAACTTAAAGCATTGATCATTCAAACTTTGTTAATGGATATAGTTAGGTAAGGGGACCCATAAAAAAATCCCTGAAAGCTGGGTTCTCAGATTCAAGTCCCACTTGATTAAATCGCTTTCATGGTCGATAGATTCGCTTTCGATTGGATTATTCTTCTCCCATATAATTTCAATAAACACATGCACTTTGAACTCTTAAGGATTCGATTTATTCCACAACTCGTACACACACACGCACAAAAACAAGACTTCGTGTTGGCTGCCCCGTTTCACCAAAACCAGAAAAGGTCAACTAAAAAGCTGCAACCTTGCAAAGACAACCATCTCAGTGCTTGAAACAGATACAATCATCTAGCAGTAGCACCTAAGGTCCCTTTAAGACAGCTGAGTTTATTACATCTCTCCAGCTGCACAATTCACCAAGTTCCCTTGGTGGGATGCCAAGGGCATACCAAGACTTCGGTCATGGTTTAAAATCAGGGTTAATATCTCAGTCTATGCTTATAGAATGAGGTATTTTTCTAATCTGTCTTTATGTCCATGATTGAGCTAATTTTATCTTTAACATAAATTAACTTTCTAATCCATCCATTTTATAAGAACTGATTGAGCCATTAACCATTTAAATTATTAGGAAAAGATAAGGTGCATCTTTTTCATCAAAGCTTCTTGCGAATTGTTTTCAACATGTCAGAGGCAATTTGCAAATATTCTGCTAAGACGGCTTGAGAATGACCTGGCCTGTAGATGGAATGCTCCAAGTTTTCAGAGGTGCCGCCTGAATCTCTCCCAGGTGAAAAAGAAAAATTCAGTTTTGGATGTTGAAACTTCCAGGACTACAAGACTCACATTAAGATCCTCCATCTCAATCTCATTCTAAAACAATTGGCCATAAACTAACTGATCGTGTTACAAAAAGCAAAGACCAACAGGCATAAGCCCGGGGTATCTCGAAAATAAATAAACAAATTGAACAGCTATAATATCTCTTCAACTTTCCTAAGCTCCTGGACAACTGACAGCATTCATATCTTTGTAAAGAATGTTTAGATGAGGATATCATATAGTGATCATTAGACCTTAACTTGAAAGGAAAGTAAGAGATGATCAATTCTCTGTCATGTAGAGCCCTTCCATTAAAGTTTTATACAGTGTTGCAATGCAACCTGAATATACAAAGCACTCCGGTAAGATGAGATGCTCAAACTTCTGAATTGGGCCAAAACGAAAGCATAATCCCCTTATCGGTAATACAGAAGTTTCAGAAGCTTTATCCATATGACAAAGTGATATTTGGGCTTAGCTACATCGGTATTACACTTGGAATGCACTATAGTTACATGAAATATGCAGAGATAGTGATCAGTCTTCTTCCAGAAATATCTTCTTGTAATTATAAAAATAAAGGAGCATGAAATCCTTTTGTTTGCTAAGAGATTAAAACGACCAATAAAGTACCAACTTTTCATAGATCTGAACTTTTTTTCAAAGTGCATACATAAATGTGGAAGCATCTGAATGCAGGAGCCTAAATAAAATAAGAAGCCCTGCCAGACTCTCATCTCCCGAATAGGTTGCGGTAATGTACAGCACTGGAAGGATGTACTTTTGTTATGTGAAATAAAACAGAAGCCATTCACTTCTGAGTGCTTCATGCAACGCCATTTAGTCAGCCAGCTTTGGTTACCTAAGTTTGATATAACTGCGGTATGAGGCAAATGCTGGAGTTACCTTAAGCTTTGAAGATTCAAGAGGTCTACTCTATCAAGCACCTGCCCCAAAAGAATGGGCTGTAGAATCATGTAACTGGAACTACATCAAATGAATTAAGCACTTCTTCCAAAATCGTTTGGTATGAGCTTCAAGAGGGCTCTCTGTCTTGTCCGAGTGGGTAATATTTTAAGAGGTAAAGCCTCTTAGAGGACACAAATGCAGCTGAGAAGATCCTCTTCATCCCTCCCCTAGTACTGTCAACCTTGTATTCAAATTCATACACTTGGAGACCTCCATGGCCTGATCTCTCAGCCACAGAAATAACCTCGGCATCCTTCGTGCTTTCCTGTTCCAAAAGAATAAACTGTTTCTCCCTGTAGTTGTTTTAGAATAAAGAAAGAAGAAACAGAGTTGCTGCAGTAAAGAAAAATAGAAAATGAGAGCAATATATTTTGAAGGTGAAAACTGAATTAATATTAACATCTGAAGCATTACAATTTCAAGCTTGATAAATAACAACCCACTAATATCATGATCCTGAGATCATGCCATGATCACAATCATGGATAACAAAAGAAATACCTGAAAAACAAAGAAATAGGAACAAGTTTGAAATATTTCAAACCACTAAACAATGTTTATGACTCCAACAACAGCAGTTCTAAGCACGTTGGACCTAAAACATTATCCTCTGAAAATTGAGAAGCATGTGTGTAGGCAGATAACCAAGTTTCAGGGTTAAGCATTTTACCTTTTTCTTTTCAGCTTGAATAAGCTTGTCAGCCACAAATTGAGGACTCCCAAATTCACCGAGGCTTGTTAAACGAACTGGGGTCACCACAACACCAATATTGTTACTCCCCTTACTAGCCTCCTCAAACAGCACTGTTGCCCCTGCTTTATCCACCTAATTCACACAAAACTAACCAAACTCTTTCAAAACAGCAACCTTTATACAAGACTCACATACTCTGTACTCAACACTAGTGTGCGTGTGTGTCCACAAAGAGAGAGAGAGAGATCTTCTATGTACCTGAACATAAGAAGAGGGTCCACGGAGAGTGAAACCCTCCTTGGAGTCAGTGTATCTATCAAGCTCCAATTCTTGAGCCAAAGAGATGTTGTTAGACAAGTTTTGTAATGACCCAGTTATCAAAAGAGCAAGAACTGAAAGGTTCGGGTCTCTTCTACTGCTTGAACGGAAAGCTTCTTGAAGAGGGTGACTGGTGCTTTGTGGGTGGTAATGTTTTGGGGTTGAGAAAGAGGTTGAAGGAGACAATGAAGTTGAAATGTTGAAGGTTTTAAGCATGTGGTTCCGTTGGTAAGGATAGTGGTTTGGGAAAGAGAAGGCAAGTTGCAATGACAGTATTAGAACTGGAAATGATAAGGAACACATTTTTCCTCCATACTCCATGCTATATGGTGACTTCTTTCTTAAAATATAACAATTTTTTTTTCAAATGGTATAGTATTTATCAAGATCAGTATTATTATATTGATTATAGCATGCAATATTGTATCAATTAATATATTTGGTTTTTTTTTTTATTTTAGCTTTGCTCAATTTAAATTCATTATTTTATTTTTTATGTATTTTTTATGATATTTTCATCTCTTTTAATAAGATTTAATTGTTTGATTGTGTACATAGAATGCTTACTTATTAAGTAGCCCACATGTGTTTTCTTCTTCTTTTTTGGTGAGTTTACATTTAATATTTTATGTTTTTAAATGCTCTTGATTTATAGATTTTTTATATGTTTTTTTTTAGATTTTATAATGTATAAAAGAGGTTGTTCTCATAGTTGTATATCCATTAAAATTAAATTAAATTAAAAACACTAAAAGAACATGAATTTACTGCTTTTTTACTTTTAATATTTTATATGATATGATGATTATAATTTACAATACACTAAGGAAAAATTAGGGTTAATGTGATGTTTTGAATAAATGAGTAGGAAAATACAATAAAGCCCTTGGTGGCTTAAAGTGTGGGTATAAATGAATGAGGGGTAGTGTAGTAATTCAACAAAACTTGATAAATATAAATAGAAAGTAAAATAAAATAAAATAAGTGATCTGAAATTTGAGAGAGAATCGGCAGGAGAGAGAAGGGAGAAAGAAGAAGAAGAGAAAAGAGGGAAATTAGAAGAAAAATAGAAAGGAGTTGAAGGAAATAAGTTTAAAGGTAAGATTATATATAAATATGTGTTGACTAAGTTTTAATTTTGGTTTTGATAAATGTTAGGGTTTTGAAAATTTGTGTTTTAGGTTTGATTGATGAATTAATTGAATGTTATGGGTTGATTGTTATGGGTAATGGATTATTTGGTGGATTTTGAGAGATTGAATTGAACGATGATGATTTTAAGTTATGATTTTGTTTGAATGGTGAAATTATGTTAGAAATAAGGAAAGAACAGTGGGTTTCTGTTGAAATTCTGGGTTGGAGGTTGAAGAAGACGAAAATTCATTTTGGTCCTTCAATTTGTGGAAATTACAGTTTAGTCCCCAAACTTTGAAAAATTTACAGATTGGTCCCTGGGGCATATTCCAAGATTCTGAACAGAATAAAAAATAAATTATGGGCAGAATTCCTGTATAGTTATGAAATTTTAACACTTTCAATTTGGTCCTTCAATTTGACAAAAATTACCATTTGACTCTAAAAATTTCATAAAATTACAGAATGGTCCCTGGAGTATAATGAGATGATCTGGACAGAAATTAGGATTGATTATGGTCAGAATTTCAGTATAGTCATGGATTTATGATAATTTTAGTTTGGTCCTCCAAATGGATAAAGTTACAATTTGACCCTTAAAAATATAATAAATTACAGATTAGTCCCTAGCTGTAATATTAGCTTTTGCAGATGTGTTTGATGAATAATTTAGGGTTAGTTAGTGAAGTATTACCAATTTTTTTTTTTTTTATTATGGATTAGATTTCGAGAAAATCATTAATTTTTGGGTTTTTAGGAAAATAACTAGTTTAGTTTAAATACATATAGGGTTATGAAATAGACCCTTAGTTAAGTGTATTAAATAGGTTATATGTTCTTTTGAGTCATTCTTGAATATGTTTTCTTTATATTCAGATAATCCTGATATTCTACCGGCGGGACGTCAGTAGGATTTTCTCCGGTGTCTACTTTTGACTTTTGTTTGCTTCGAGTCAGGTGAGTGGATAATTTTCCATATGCATGAGAATATTATAAACATTTGATTTGTTAATATGAATTGGATCATGCTTCTTGATAATATATATGGTGATTATTATCCTTGTTATGATAAGCATGATCATTTGTTGAATCTGAATTCTTGATATGAGGCAGTATGCATTTTGAATTGACTTCTGAATTGATAGCTACTCATTTGATTGATATCATGAGTTAAGCCTTGAGATATTAATATGTTTGTTTGATTATGATTATAGCCCTATGGTATGTCAGTCAGAATACCCATGCTAACAGGGTAATGTTAGTCTTTGTGCACATCGTATCTGAACCCTAGTTGGTCGAGGGAGTCACCAACCTGTGTGGACTGATCATCCCACAGTACGGAGCCTCATGCTCATTGCATTTTGATTTTCTGACGAATTTTACCATATGATATTCTTGTTATGGCTTATTTGAGAAACCTTTTTATAAGAACCTAAAGCCATACTTGTATATATATTTCTCATTGTTGTATTATCTCGTGTGTGTATATTGAACGTTATCTACTCACTGAGTTGTTAAACTCACACTCTCATTATTTATCATTTTCAGGCTTATAGCTTGATAGCAGGTCACTTTTGTTGGACCTTCAAAACTTGCTCTTTTGGTTGTAATCCGTGCATTTTCCTTTATGTCTAATTAGTGCTCCAAAACTATAAAATTATATTAACTCTTGTATTAAGACAATTCAATTATATTATGAAGTTGATTTTGTTATTAATGCTGCGTTGAACTCTGATTGAGTTAGGATAAATTTGTATGTAAGTTTGGGTTCGCATAGGTATGGAACCTTGGAGGGAAACCTTACCTATGTGCCGGTCATGGATCCGGGATTCGGGTCGTGACAGTTAACCTCATATGATATCTTAATTATCTAAGAATTTCAATTAGGTCACCTTACAATTACATTTTAAATTTAATTAGAGGAAAGTTACTCATTTTTTTAGCTAAAATAACATCATTAAGGTTTGGAGAATATAAAATTAAAAATCTTATCTTACCATCATATTCAACACAAACCATTACAAATAGTGCATCCTATTTTGATTAAAACTCAGCCTTCTACACTTAAACAACAGTACTTATGGAAATGCTTAATATGTATATAAAGACAAGTTCACGAATCAATCCAATCCATTCAAGTTATTTTATATGTAAATCATGCCCGACTTCGGATTGAAACGCTGAACTCATAACTCTAATCTTTCAAAAGGATTTGGGTTGTATTTACAGGTCTGAGTTCATATTTGCTAGCCATGATTGTTCATTGGAATCCTTTTCCATCAAATAAATCAACATGTCATCCACCGTACGTATCTTCAATTGGATGTCCTATTGCTGATAATTGATCACAATGAGCCTTACATATTCGAGAATATTCAGAAATGCTACGAGAGCCCCGTCTCATGAGATAAAGTTCATCTTTAATTCGAAGTTCATGGACCTTAGATTTGTGGTTGAAGGTGGTTTCAAGAAAGTTCCGGACATCTCTTGATGTTGTAAAGCCGATAGTAATAAAAAGAGCTTCTTCTATGAGAGAAGAAAGCAGAAGGCTCATGACAAGCTGATCTAGTTTCTTCCACATGTTGTGAGCTGCAAGATCAGAGGCAGCAGAGAGCATTGTTGTTGAGCCATCAACTGCAGTAAAGGGACCGCTTGACTGCGCCAAAGAAGAAAATTGGTGGAGGATACTTTGATAGTAACCATGTGAACCATGGTGTTGAAGGATAGAGTAGAAGAAGAATTTTCTGAGGCCATAGGATCGGATGGAGGTTAATCTTATGGCTCTGATACCATGTAAGGTTTTGTAAACCAATAATTATCAACCACACCTTGCACATGGTGTTGGAATATTATTATATAGGGAAGTTTTACAACAGAGAGGAAGAGAAATAAGGAAATAGATGTTACATGATATACACTATATTATAATTAGAATTAATCAATTCTTGGACAGACGCTGCACAATTAACTGTAAGGCAATCAAATGGCATGATTTTCTCCTTAATGCTTGGAAGGATTCTCTCCTGGATTGTCTGCAGAAGATGAGATTGTGCTAGCGCCAATAACATATACACCTTAAACGTTACAGCATGAACAGGATTTTATACCCAATACAGCAAACAAATTTAATCAAATCATAAATTTACTGGAACGACCACAAACAGATTGAAATGTTAATGGCAGACACCATTCTTTGCTTGCTTGATGGCATCTTGAAGTTGCCTCCAAACAGCTACCTCATAATGTATCATGCACAATTATATGATACTCACATTGGTGAAATCCTGAGCTAGAAATCCTGAGCTAGATATGCCCTCAGAATCTCAAGGGGACTCATGATCAACAAGTTCCGCTAGTCATTCTATAGGATGGTGCAGTGATGCCAACGAAAAAACTATCATGACATTTAATTAAAACTTGAAGGCTCATAGCCCCTCTTCATTTCAATCCCCACCTGGGAAAAGAAAGGCAGAACAAACTAGTTCATTGCATTACCAACAACGTGGATCCCTGAGATGCTTGAAAAGCGAAGGGGTAAAATTGCATCTTTATTTCTTAATGAAAATGTATTTTCTCATTTTACCTCTTTCTCGTATCATCAGGAGAGAGCAGGGATGCTGAGGGATCCAATGTTCAGTACTCTAGGCAATATCTGTGATAGCCCATAACAAGGATCAATAAAGCCAAAACATGATAACCTGAAGAAAATAGTTCCCAAATTGGTTTCAGAAGACTTCACCTTTCCTAATCGGGCATTTATCTTTAAAGGCACGATATCATCAGCTCGCGTCACACCTAAATTTACAATTGCTGTAGCAGCACCTGCCTCGTGAGCAGCCCTGTTCAATATCAAAAGCCTTGTCAACTGAAGCTTAAGCAGTCTTAAAAACACCATGCTTCGGTTGCTTCATTGTCAGTTGTGTTTTAGTTGGGTACAGTGATAAAGAAAAAGGTTAAGAAATCCCAGATTCCACTTCAACTTCAAGCATTAATTCCATGCACGCATGAAATTAAGGATGTCTTGATTCAAGCTATAGTCTTTATCTATGTGCATGTGGCAACATTTATTCATCCCTTTGATGGAGTCGACATCAATGTCAACCTTAAATGAACTTATAATGCTTCAGGGATGAAAATGACCATCGACTTAATTGCAGCCTTCAGAGGATGCAGGCTTACATTCAGTTACTACTGTTCACAGTTAATGATGTATTGTTCACTGCATGGAGACATGCATGGCAGTTATTATCCTCAGTCCTATTCTCATCGTCAATTAGTGAATTTTCTTGATTATAAACATTGAGTTTAGATTTTGAGAGACTTCATTTATTTCCAGATCAAAAGGAAGAAAAAGAAACAAAGAAGCTGTAAACTAAGACATAAATTTTCCAGGGAAGAAGGTATCTCTGATCATAACCCTGTTATGCAATCAAAATTTGTCATCTCCCATCATAGAGAAATGAACAAAAAATGCATTTACCTGACAAGTCTAAAAGCAGACATGGTCATTAGAGATGATCCTAGTACAAGGAAAGCATCACACCCTTTCGCAGCTTCCATTGCCTTGTCTGCTCTATCCTTGGGGACATTATCGCCGAAGAAAACAACCTTAAGGATTAGCAGATTACCATGTTCAGAACCAATATTTCAAAAGGTGCTTTAGCTCAGCTATTGTTGTATCATACATGAGTGCATTTGCTTGAATAAAAATGATTATATGTGCGCTGCATACATGCCCACATTTCATTTTGTGAACTGAAGAAACTGTCATAGCCCCTATATATGAATGAGCAAACACTGCAACTTCTTTGTTAAATAATACAAAGTTAATCCATGCAATCAGCAAGAAAGCCTTCCATGAGAAGTCATCATTGATATTTCCAGAGGTTATAGTAATGAGATTTAGAGCAGATGAACTCAAAATATGACCACTTTCTCAAAAAAGAAAAGCCTAGGAACATTTTGTATCATCCATGTGATATTTTTAGTTTTTTCACACCATGAACCTTCTTCTACTGAACAATTCAGAGACAGCTATAAACTACTGAACAATTCAGAGACAGCTATAAAATAAAATTACTGGATTTTGTAACAACCTATACTAGGCACTTAATGCACAAGTATATGAAATTCAATATGAAAGAAAGACTATAAAATGATGTGAAGAAGTGAATACTTGAAATACTGATAGAAACTCATATTATAATGGCATATTCACCTTGGGTGCACAGTGTATAAGATAATTCAATCATGTAAATGAATTCTGTTTTCACATGTATTACCATCTGTTAACAGTGAAATAGCAAAGCAACAACTACATGGTCACAAATATATGCCCCATCTTAAAACCATGCATAATGCATGTGCTACCTGATATCAGAAAAGTTAACAAGCTTACAGACCATCACGTCCATTCAATGATAACTTTCTACGAACATTAGACAAAGCCATTCAATGACAACTTTCTATGAACATTAGACAATGCCACTCTTAGCATTTTCAATGCATGTCTACCTTATTTTCAGGACTTAAATTTCCTTTTAACATCTTATAGCACTTGATGAAATCCAGTCATGAATAACAACAATTTCAACACACTTGGAGAGTTGTACTCTTCTCTCTCACACACATAAACATGGGACCCACCATGAAAATTATCCACGGACCCCACCTTCATTGAGAAAGGGGAGTACAACCTATTGAGAAAGGGGAGTACAACCTCAGGTGTATTAAATAATTTCCCAGTATCCTGATATTCCATGTACTTATGGCACTATACCAGTCTTTTATGACCACATTGTTCCGCAACATCTACACAGTTGAAGATACATCAGGTCATCTAGTCACCCAGTCAAAAAGAGTGATAACTAAAATATGGATATGGATATTGATTGCATATATCAATTATAGTAAACATAAGCAGTTACTGAAATAAGAAAAAGCAAAAACATTTGTTTTGGAATCAGAATTTAAAAGCCTCTAAAGATATAGCAGCTGAAAATTATAAACCAGTACAAGAAAATATTACATCAGGTTTGAGCACTCCATTGCATTTGGGGCATGCAGGTATGTGGTAATCCTCCTCCCAGAATTTCTCATCAATCTCAATATCACCATCAGGCCTTTGCTTCATGCCAAAGCTCTTCTCCGATCCAGGACTTCCATTATCCAAAGTTTCAATTGCTTCTGCCCACTACATGATTATTTTCTCAAACAGCCTTAGCACAACATAAATAACATTCCAGATGAAAAAATGAATTTGCAGCCAGGTTAAAAAAGGATTAAGTAGTTGAAAGAAAAAAAAAGGAAAGAAAGCCATTCAAGGAAAACAGGCAATTCAAAGGTGATTTTTGCATGTAACCTTGCCCAACCATTTTCACATAATTTAAGAAATGCAAAATATTTTCTATGATGGGGTTTTAGCTCCTCCTATTCATCCCTTTTATAGGCACCTTTTAAATGGGTATCCTCTCCCTCTCCATCACCTCGCCAATAAAAGGGATGGACACTGCTCCCTCATCGTCCCTGAAAATCCTTTTTGGCATTTGAGAAATATCTTTAAAACCCTTCAAAAGTTTGATTAACTGGATCCCTTATCACAATTTTTATTGGACAGAACCTCAAGTCCCTCGTTCAAGCCCTTCATTTTTAGATTCTTATGTTTCCAATCCATGTTCTAACAGCCATTTCTGACAATTTTACATGATTCTGAGGCCCCAAACCTTTGAAAAAATGGCATGCCTATGTTAACACCTCATTTATCTATACCCTCTTAACTCAAAGTGTACAGCATTTACTTATGTCAATCTCTCGGAACTAAAGCTCGTACGTGAAATCCATTTGGCATTTGAGAATTCTCTTTAAACCTCCTCTGAGATTTTAGTAACTGGATACCTTATCACAATTTCTATCAGCTAGAACCTCAATTACCTCATTGAAGCCCTACATTCTTAGATTCATACATTTCCAATCCACATTCTAAAAGCCATTTCTAACATTTTTAATTGAATATGAGGCTCCTGACCTAATAGCAATGGTATGCCTATGTTAAGACCTCATTTATCTAACTTAGTCATATCTCCAAAAGTGTTCGGCTGTACCCATATGTCATTCTCTCTGAACCGAAGCTAGCTCATGAACTTACCTCTTAAGCTTTGATGACATGATGGTGTATAACACATTAGAGTCTGGATATTTCCTACCTAGCAACAGCAAATTGTACAAAACCAACCTTTGGATTGAGGGCCTTCAGTTGATCTTGAAATGAACTCCGTGGAAAGGAAAAGTTGCAATCTAGACAAGTCACAGAGTATACCGTTCCATGTATTTCAAGTGGGTTGCTCCCAGCACGATGGTGCAGTCTGGAACAGTATTTTGATAAAGTTTGTTAACATAGCACTTGTCTATGGCTGCATGAGACCCTCATAGTTTCTCGAAAAAAAAGGAGTGGTATGAACAGCTAGTTACCTATCAACATTTTGTGTAATCATAAAATCAACCCGCCCAGCTTTTTCTAAAGATGCCAAAGCAAAATGGGCTGCACTAGGTTCTGCAGCATGAAACCGTCTCCATCCAGCATAGCTCCTAGCCCAATATCGCCTACGTGTTCTACTTGAACGGACAAACTCCTGTTCATAGAGAGATGCAAGTATATGTTAACAATGTAAACTTTTGTTGCCTTGGAAAACAATTATACCAATCTTTGGAAAGAACAGGGTGAAAATACAATACAAAAGATTTCCTTGGTAGAAGAAAGAAGAGGTACTGAACAAGCTCCAGCTTCCATGATAAAAATCTTTTTAATTTTTTTACAACTAAATGGGCTCTAACAATGCTAATCATAGGATCAAGTAACATGTACCAGCTGCATTCCTTTTAGTGAACTAAAATCCAATAGGCATCTAAAATATATATGAGGCAAGTGCCAGTCTACAAGGAAGATAGTCTCATTGAACAAAAGTTTAGGAAATAATGTACTGCATTGTCCCTCAGCTGCAAACATGAATCTAAATATTCTAAAATAAGATATAGAACTCATCTATTTGCAAATGGCTTCCACATCAATGAATTCAACCTTATATTGAATAAACAGTTTGAATTACTCTAAAATTTTCTCTCATAGCTATTGCATGAAAGAAAAAGGGAAAAAAGAACAGACATTGATATACCTAATCTCTTCTCTGTCATGCCATTATCTAACTGGCAGAGATTAATTGATCCATAAAGTTAAGGATTTAGATTTTTCTATTATGATAATCAACTCAGCGAATTCCCAATCATCTATTCATGAATTGGTCTACTCTTTTTATTGTCATTTTTGTTCAGAGACTGATACAGTCATCATGTGAGATTAGCTAAGTAAGCCCTAGTCAAATTGTGCTGGCAGAAGCTGCTATTTTCTAAAACTTTTAGTCTAAATAGAAGATCATCTATCCTGCCATAGATTGATGCTCTAGCACAGTGCTTAATTCCTGGAGAACTGAAGCTTTATTAGAAGGCCATTACAGATGGCAATCTTGAAATTTAGTAGCTTTCCTGTGTTTCGGTTCTGATAACCTTGAACATATTTAAACACTTATCAATGTTGAAGAAATGTTGAAGAAACAAGATATCTGACAACCTGCCTTCAGATCACCTGATGGGTAATAGGTCTGAAACCAGAACTGTAGGCTCCATTTGGACTGCAGCAGCATAAAATTCCATATCATTATACATCAGTTTGGCCCCACCAAGAAAATTCAACAAAAATGCTTTTAGAGACAAAACATCACTTGTTACCCATAGATTGGATAACCAGTTTGAACATTACCAATGCATAAGCAAATAGAAGGGAAAAAGAACAAGATCATCATATACTCAACAGAGGGGAAGAGTAGACAACTATAGATCAAAGCAGGCTCCAGCCACTTGTATCAATGTGATCGATGAACCATATGCAATCTTTGCCTTTCCCCACTGATGGCTATCTAATACCAAACATGCAGCCCAGTTCACATGAAGTGCAAGCGGAAATGAACAATTTACAAAACCATCCACAGTGAAGGAGTTCTTGTGCATCCTAAATATTAATGTGGACGTAGAAAATAAGATTCATCAATGAATCACAACATGCCATGGCATTATACCAGACAAACATGGGCACAAATTGAGTGAGAGAATAAATTCAATGCAAACATCAAAAAACTTGAATTCAGCCATCATCAACGATAGTTGCCACAATTTCAAAGCAGGAAGTTATTGACCACTAGCAGCTTGAGCAAACTTGCAAGGAGTTCATTCAGTTATTATTATTAAAAATGCACTGCTTACTGATATATTAAAAGTGCAAAAAAAAAATCTTGTAGATATGATAGACTTGTAAGACAGTATTAAGCTTATTGAACAGTATAGAGAAGAGATAAAACCTTCTATAATCAGGAATTCCACATTCTGTACTAATCCCAGCTCCAGTCAAAACCACTAATTTGGTGCTGTACAAAGCAAAAATAAATAAAAATATCACATTTTGTTACAAAACAGACATAGCTAATCGAAGAAATGAAACAATTTTGCTCAACAAAGAAAAAAAGAAGAAAAGAAACAGCTTCTTTGAGATTGCTCAAACCTTTGATCAAAAAACTGGTACAAAAGATCAACATCTCTATCACTTGGAGGATCTGAATCAGGAACTGTCTTCTTGTCTTTCAAAATTTTTGAAGAGACTTTTTCTTGGTTTCCAAATGCGTTCCCAGCAGGCAGTGAAATACGGTATGATGTTTGTACAAATCTTACAGCAGAGCCTTGAAAAGAAACAACCCTTTTGCCTCTTCTCAATGGCATACAATTCTTGTTGCTCAATTGAACAGAATCTACAAAAACAAGGTCGAGAACAGTACTTCAAAATCAAGGAATATCAATCATAAGAAAATCCCATTTGAGACAAATGAACGTAAGGCAGTTCTGTGATAAGAGAGAGAAAAAATAACCCAATCAAATTCAATACGAAACAACAACCCACTTGCCTTTCATTACATTTCCAAGAACCCTTCTTGCAGTTCTTAAAGTCTGCTGCAAATTCAAATGAAAAATTCAAACTTGAAACAAAAAGATTGAGACTTTGATTCTTTGATGATGAGAAAGAGAGACAGGAAAAAAGAAAGAAAAGATAACTTACAAAGAAGTGCGTGTGCAAAAGCATGGTGATTGTGTAAAAAAACTACTTTGGCCTATTATTATTATTTTTTATTTGCAAGAGAAATTCTTGGTCTTGGAGGGTATTTATGTGGTTGGTCTTAGCATTGGAAGCTCCGGTAATGGAGGCTGTTGTTTTGGATATGTTGTCTTAGAAGTTTGTCTATTTGTAACTTGTGTTCTTCCACGTTTATCACTTCTTTGCCGTTTATGTACACCTCTGCAGTCTGAATTTTCGTCAGTGAGATGAGATTTGCCGATTAAATTTTTTTTTCTTGCTAAATTGCTGATAGAAAAATTTCTTTGCCAAATTGTTTTGATTTTTGAACGTCAACGAAATATCTTCTTCGAAGGTTCTGTGATTTTTGCAATTCAATTTTTTTCCTTAGCAACAGTAAATGGATATCATCAGATGTTTCCCAGCGTCAAAACCGTACAAAATAGATAAATGTCGAGATCAACAGACAACATGCATCATAAAGATTTTTGGTTATTTTAAATATAGAGGTCGAATTATTTTTTATTTTTTTTCTAAGAAACTCCAACAATCTTTACCTCAGGATATTCATCATCCCTCCACCATTGAATGGAGGACTGATTTGGTGGCTGAACGTTGACAGCCAGCTGTGAATAACACAACTATACAGTGAGAATAAAAAAAAATTAGAAAGTTAAGTGCAAGATAACATTTTTCAAACAACTTATTTAACAAAAATTATTGATTGGGATCAATTGAAATCAGAATTCCATCGCTGTAATTCCTTCTCTAAATATTTTTTTATTTTTTTAATATATTAAAATAGTATTTTTATGTTTATTTTTATTTTTATTTTTGAACATAAATATATTAAAATTATATGAAAAGAAAAGAAAAAATTAAAACACAAAAATAAAGTGACTCTTAATTGTATACTACCACTGTTAGTCCCAAAAAAATAGTGGTGGAGTTCTTCAAAAACTCATTCAAGAATGATATTTGTGTCGAAGATAGGATTATCCAAACAAGAACATGATTACATTTTAATTCATAACCAATTTTCATAGTCTTTCTTTCCTTAATTTTAAACAAATTATTTGCAAATCTTTCTCACAGCCATCTCCCCTACAATTCGAATCTAAGTATTATAAAGATCCAAAAAGTTTGGAGTTGGGTTTGAGGTCATATAAAGCACAACCACAGTCCACTTAAACCTTCCTCTATCAGGCTCCGTTTATTTATTTATGTGATGCGGTGCGGTGAGTTCTGACAGGCTTCCATTACTGAGATATTATTAAAGATACCATCTTTAACTGAAACGGGTGTTTTGATATGAAAAGGGTTTTAAGAATTTACTGCCATTTGTTTGGAAATTCTAGTTTTTGACTGTTTGGGGTTTTGTTCTTCACTACAGATGGTCTCATATGTTTTTTTAGTGATTTGGACATGTAAAGGTTTTTGCTTTGTTTGTGTAATTCTTAAGTGTTGGGAATTTCGACCGGTGATGTTCTGATACTTGCTCATAGGAGAGCCAAGCACACTGACACAATATTTAACGTGGTTCGGCAAAATCGCCTACATCCACGGGAGAAGTCAATATATTTAGAGATAGAGAAAGAATACAAAACAAATACATGGAGGAGGAGGATTACACCCTCTCATACTCAACTCTCAACTCTCTTTGCTGCACTTGCAGCTGCTGCAATGGCAGCAAGGCTGCTGCCATTGCAGCTCTCTCTTCCTCTCTACTCTCTTCACATTTTCATAATTCTCTTCACTCGTTTTGCTCTCTTGCATATGCCTCTATTTATAGGCATTCATGGAGGTTTTTCTTCAACAAAGGTGGCTGCCAACTCCAACTCTTCTTCAACAATGGTGGCTGCCAACCTTTGACATCTTGGATGAGTGCACATGGTTGGTGCAATAGCAAATGGTTGTTGCACATTAATGGCAACCAACCTAACATTAAGTTGATTTCAGTCCTGGTCGTGTAACTAGAAAAGGTCTCTGCAACTGCAATTTGAGATGACAAGACTCCTTTTTTATTTGATTTGAGTTGTGATGAAGTTATTATAGTCTTTGTATTGGCTATTTTGACCTGTTAAGAATCTGATAATGCTTTAGATTTTGTGGTTGCTGTTAATGTTCATTGATGTGGAAACTTTTGGTCACTAATTTTGTGTTTATTGTTCCAAGGCACCAATTATTGTTTGTGGATGAATTACGCTTACAAGTCTTTTACTTTTTAATTGAACTGCACACGCTGTGACTCGTTCATTTGATAGTTGAACATGGGATGTGTTGCGTTCCATTAGCATGTTCTAACGATTTCTTCCCTACTTTTTTTGGGGGCGAGGAAGAGATTCAAAGTGCCCATTGTCATCAATTGCTCGAAATCCTCTCGATGAAACAGCCTTGGTTTACTTTACAGTAGAGTTTGCTAACTTAGAACTGCAATTTTATTGGTCAATCTGATGTTTCTAGAATCTCATGTGATTTCAGACCTTTCCCTGTTGCACAGTTCCCTCGTGACAGCAATTACATGGAAATTTACAGATTTTTGGTTCACATCTGATGCTTTAAATTAATTTGTTAAAAACTTGACAGCAGACTGTATATTTTTGAGGCCTGGATGGCACTAGCTACGCCTCTTGTAATTCTAGCCTGCCCTATTTCATGTACATCGAGTTAAGATTTTCCTTTTTCATAATTTTTTAGAATAAACTTTTCATTTTGGCAGTGGGAATAATTTTGTTGCAAGAGTAGAATGATTATTAGTTGATTGTACAAATAGCTTATGTGTCTCGTCTTTTAGAAAGAAATTATCCTGCAATTTCAGACCTTGATAACTCAAGCGGGTACTCAAACTCGTCTTTGACTGTCTACTAGAAAGCTTAGCTCATAATACTTTTCTTAATTACACAGGTTTGACACAAGTCACAGCTTTAAATTAGTCCTTGTGCTTCACAGGAGTTAGTAGTTTGTTAACCAGTCTGGCATTCGATTTTTCTTGATGAACAAATTTGTCACTTTTGGCCTACTTGTTTTGAAGAAAGTATTGAATAGGAGAAAAAGATGAAGATTTAAGCCTGATCTACATGACTATTAAGTGAATCACTTAGGGATAGTTAATTGACTTCTTTGACCTTTAGAGAAGTATTTCTTTACTGGATTTTAGCTTGTGCAGCTTTTCTTGTCTCCCTGTGAGTCCCGTTGCATATGATTGTTTACAGCCTTGTAGATTGTTTACAGCCTTGTAGATTGTTTAGCTTTGACCTGTTCGTCACATAGTAGCTGCAAGCTGCAGCTTTCAATAGTATTCATGGTAAAGAAGGACAACAGGCCTGACTGATTTATTGCACTGGTTGTAGCTTCAAAAAACTTTAAGCTTTCTAAAGTGAAATGTTCTGCGAATCCATCTATTTTTTCACCTTCATTCAGCATTTTTATGATGTATTGCAGTGTTGTGTGTTGATTTACGCAAAAGATGAATTTAGTCCCAAACTTGTTGTTTTAATAGAAATGAAAGATGATGAACTATTTTTTTTATCATGATAGCATCGTCTAACAAGTGCAAAAAGGCAATTGAAGTGTTATACTGATTGAGGATTGGAGCAATGCTTGTGTATTTGGGATAGAAATGACATGGTGAAAAGCCAGGGTGATTCTTCCAAGACTTGGAAGGCAAACTCTTACTGCACCATGACTAATTAGATAGAAACAGTGAACCCGACATTGTATTGAGAGCTTCACCAGCTTTTCTTCTGTCGCGTCCAATTACGCTTGGAGAATGCTTATGCTGTAAAAGAAGAAAAGGGGAACAAATACCATGCTCTGAAATACAAAGTTGGAGTTAATTCTAGTAGCTGGAGAAACTGGAGTTTGTTTTCCATTTATTTTGTAATTGATTTATCAGAAGATGCATTCCTCCATGGGGAGAAAGCTTATGCAGGTTGATTCTGTTGCTATACAGAGTAGTTTGTATCATGCAAAGTCTACTAAGTTATTGCTGCTGTGATATGGTGAATCACCCAAACGTTATGAGACATGCTTGATTTGTTGTTTATGTTTTATCTTGAAAACCAATTTTGATCTTACGTGCTAGCTGTTCTCCCGTCTATGTTATAATATCAACAGAGTAAATCTTATTTTATTTAAAATTATAATTTATATTTAAATTAATTTATTAAAAATCTAATAAATTACATACACATAAAAATTATTATTAAAAAATTAAAATAAAATAATTAATTAATTAATTATGATTTTATTGTATAATTTATATTTAAATTAATTTATTAAAAATCTAATAAATTACATACACATAAAAATTATTATTAAAAAATCAAAATAAAATAATTAATTAAATATGATTTTATTATAAATAAATTTTAAAAATTAAATTCCAGAATATAATTAGTATAAAATATTATAATTTTAGACTTATAAATATTCACAGGTTTGATTGAAAACATTTCTAAAATTAGTTTAAAATAATTTGTGATGTTATTTAAAAGATAACTTGATTTTTTATAATTTATAAAAATTTTAAGTTTTTCTATAAAAGAAAAAAATTATACTTCTTATTTCTAAAAGTGTATAGAATATGATACAAAAATATCTAAATACAGAAAAAAGGAATTAATAATTAAATATATAACAATTTTTTTTTTTGAAAAAAGTTGAAATTTATCATTCATAATTCATATAAATTATCGTTAGAAATCAAATATTTAAAAAGATAGTTTATCATAATACAATCTTAAAATAATTATTTAAAACTGAAAAATACATTTGCAACTTTTGTATAACCCTGAATAATCATAAATATATTTAATGAGGTACTTAGCACTCAAAAAAATAAATTAAAATCTATAGTTTCCACTGCAGGGATGTATTTCAGAAAACTCAAAAACCCAGCCATAGCTAAAAATTTCATAAAAGCATAATATTTATAATTTCTTACGAGACCACATCCTTTATAGACCTTAGCTTTTGCAGTGTCTTCTTGTTTTCTGGTCCATGCAGCCTAATAATTTTATTCCGTAGATTTTTCAGGTGTGACTTTCAGCTTGTTCATTTTATAGAGTCCAAATCTAGATGGTCACGAGTCCAATTTTATTTTTTATTTTTAATATATATATATATATATAGAGACTTTTATGATGTATTTTTGTATATAAAAAAATAAAGAGGGATTAAAAAAAAATTCACAATAATTTGTTTATTGGTGAACAACAGAGTGAAAAACAATATTTTCCCCATGACTTTTAGATTATTACTTAATAATCCCTACATAACGGTGGAGTTATGATGTCATAAATCTCCTACGCATTCATCATTTACTTGTAGAAGCCTTTGCACGCACTTTGCAGCCAACAAAAAGAAGAACCTCTCCTCTGTAGTCCTTCTAGGTTCTCTTTATCTTCTCACATTCCAAAAATAACTGAGCTTTTACGGGCAATTATGTGGTTGGTGAAATGAGAGATGCCAAATGTTGAAAATATGCTTCCATTAAGATGTGTATATATGGTCAACATTCAGGCCAAATGGATAGTGACAATCCTATCAATCAGTCCTCCTATTCTGGGGTTAAGGCTTTGGATTACAGAAGCTGGCTGGAGACATTTTCTCCATACACCAAAAATGCTTTCCAAGTCACCATCTTTCCTTCTCTTTCTTCAACTAACAACAGAAACTTTTCTGCATCCCTTTTTCCTGCTGTAGAAACCCCATTTTGGTTGCCTTTTCAGGTTCTTTAAAAGCATCAGAAGCCAGAGAGTGTTTCAGAGGAATATAACTCAGCTGCGTTTTTTACCATCAGGTTCTTCAACACAATATCAGATCTTGCCACTATCGGGACCATTGATCAGTTTTTGAGAAAGTCTTCTGATAAGGTAACATGTGACATTTTGTTCGTGTTATGAACAATAGTTTTGTATGTAATCCAAAAGAGGCAGAAAATACGTTGGTAGGGCAGGGTAGAATGGGATCGCAGCTTTTCTTGCATTAGCATTCGTTCTTATGCCTGTGAAATCATAGTTTCGCTTCCATTCGAATATTTACATAACAATGTCTTTCCAACATCCATTGAGAAACTCCTCATTGGGAGCTTCCTTATCATCTGCACTCCCAGAAAAAATATCAGATGATCCATCGACAAATAAAACTCCTCAGAGTACTGTCACGTGCGCCTACCATGCTTATGTTGCAGGTTATTGGCGTACTATCACAGTTTTTTGGTGCAAGAACCTTATGAATCACACCCTCAACCTCATTATCAATAATCTTGAAGGTGAAGCTTGTTACAATTGCAAGATTGACCTTAAGCCTTGGCTTTTTTGGAGCAAAAAAGGGGGCAAGTCCTTTGAGCTCGAAGGGTGCCAAGTAGATATACATTGGGATTTCCGATCAGCTAAATTTTCCGGGAGTCCTGAGCCGGCTAGCGATTATTATGTTGCTATAGTTTCAGATGAAGAGGTTGTTTTGTTGTTGGGAGATTACAAGAAAAAGGCTTACAAGAGAACGAAAGCAAGACCGGCTCTCGTTGAGGCTATCCTATATTTGAAGAAAGAAAATGTATTTCACAGGAAAACCTTCTCAACCAGAGCTAAATTCGACGAAAGGAAAAATGAACATGATATTATTGTAGAGAGTTCAGCAGGAGGATCAAGAGACCCTGAGATGTGGATTAGCATAGATGGAATCGTTGTGATTCATGTTATGAATTTACAGTGGAAATTCAGAGGGAACCAAACTGTGATGTTGAGCAGGCAACCAGTTCAAGTGTTCTGGGATGTCCATGATTGGCTGTTTAGTACCCCTGGCACTGGCCATGGCTTGTTCATATTCAAACCAGGGGTTCCAGAACCAGAAGATGACAAGGATGGCAGCAGTTATGGTGGGCAGAGTGATACTAGTGATGGGAGTATGTACTTTTCTACCAGGAGTCTCTCAGCAACAGCAGAATTCTGCCTTTTCCTTTATGCCTGGAAGATTGAGTAAGGTTTGTGGTATTCTATGGAAATGGCTAAGTGCATCATTCGCAGGCATTCTTATGGCTAGAACTTTCCCTGCCAGTAGAAATATAACCTGTAAAGTAGGTTATCGGTTATCTCCCTGGTCTGAGCCCTTCATGGATGTATATCAGATCCATTACATTTTCCATGCCATTGTGGAAGCATAGTTGATAATGTCAACTGTAGTTTTGTCCAGTACAATTCTTTACATAGATCTTGAATTCATTTATTCCTCAAATTGATCTTTTACTTTACTGGAGTAACTTGTGCAATAGACGCAATTCCAAATCCATGGGTTCATAGCTCTAACCAGGCAACATTTTTCAGGGAATCAACAGGTCTCATGATCTGTGCAGCAACTTTTCATATTTCCATTAGTTCATTCAAAGCCTCCAGTAATAAAAGAATTTATCGCCAACGAGCTTGTAGGTCAACCAGCTTCCATTTCCCCCTTCCCCCTAGAGGTATGAGGTTTGAGCCTGTCACTTGTCAACGTAAAAATATTAAAAATTATTCAATAAGCTAAATCACTCAGGATATTGCTTCCCCTTCAGTTATAGTTAATATAAAGCATTCAAGATAGAAATCGCATAAAAATCTGAAGTGTTCCTTTGGAGGGTATTATTAAACACTAAAGAGAATAAGAGAATCTGAGTGCTTGTTTCAAGACCACGCCAATCATCCTCGAACACAGATGGGTGTTGTTGCAGGGTTTGGTGCTCAACACAGATATCAGAATATCCCACTGCAAACGGACAGTCATTCTTGTACATAAATATACCAGGATCAGAAGGCAAATTGCTTGGCATTTGGCAAACAAGTAAAGAGATCATCTATTTAGGCAATTCACACAACTTTTAATTTAAGCAGGAACAATCATAAGCATCAATATACCGAGGAGCTTGCGTATTTTTGTTGAACATATGCTGTCCTTAAAATTTACCTGCAATTGTAGAATGGACATTCATGCAGACGCAAGCTAAACTTTTAATTAATGCCATTATGCAATCCAGTCAAACCCATGTTGTTCTTGGAAAGAACCAGAAAAGAGATTATCAATAGGATTGAAATTCTTCGATTTATTTCATTTGGTTGGAGGTGAATTTTTATAGGCTCACCTTCGAACATTTGTTAAATGTTATTGCATTAGTCAATAATGAATATCCTGGGAAATTAAGGAGGATGGGCATGATGAGCTGCAGAAATGCGAAGCTGTGTTAGAGCTTGCTTCAGATAGAAATTGAGGCCAGCAGCGATGGAAATCGAAACAAGATTCAGACATATCTTTCAGGTCTGTCCCTCATCAACCCTATAATGCAGACACAGGCGCAGGATAGCCAAAATGTACTGAGCTTGCTTCAGATGGTTAAGAATTTAAGCAGCTAGAACCGTTCATTTTCCACTCTCATGATGCCCCGTCCTAATCTTTCTTTAGACAAATAAACGAGCATCAGATATGGTCAAGAAAGCTCTCTTCTTCCTTCATGAACCGACAAAGCAATGACATTTTTGAGAAAACCTGATAATGGTAGTATTCAAGCGTGATGTAGTTTATTTATTTATATATGAGCTCCATAATTTAAACCTTCCATTTGCATATAATTTTTAGTTTGACACATGTTCTATTATATTTTTTTTATGTTTTTTGCATTTATATTTTTAAATATAATATATAAGCGGAGTTATTTTGACCTTTTCAATAAGTAAAGATTTATCTGGTCAAATTATTTGTAAAAGGTTTTATTTGATCAAAGTTTAAACATTTAGGGACTGAAAAAAATAATTTTATTAGTTTATTTGATATTCAAAGGGGGGAAATTGACATAATAAAAACCTTAAGAGAAAACGCTGAATTCATCCCAATCCTTAGGGATATAAATTGAAATTAACTCAAATTTAAATGGCTAGGATTACATCCATCCATCCATTGACTTGGGGTTAAACCCGCAGGCACTCAACTCGGCACCTCTTGGGCGTTTTCTTCACCCTTGATCTTGTTGTCAAGAGCTTGCCAACAAACAGTGTAAGTTGTTATCATTTGCTTTGTCTTCGAATCCCACTATTCTTTCTGCCATCCTTACATCTTCCTTTGATTTGTTAGTTTCAATGGTTTCTTTTCTGTTCATGGAAATGTCTGGTTTCTTTCAAGTCTTTAGGAATTCTTATCAGTTTCTGTTACCAACGGAAGAAGGAGAAGAAGAGATTTGATTTGAGATTCAAATTAAATAACCATTACTGGATACGCACCGTTTCATTAAGTCAATTAAACTATATCGTTTTGTATTTCTCTTTAAACACTGCGTTTTGATCAAATGTAATAATTCCATCAGGGGCAGCTGAGGGTAGTCTTCAGCTATATATATACCTGCAACAGACTGCATGAATTTACACATTAAGAAAAATGAGAAATGAATGACTCTCCTGCAATTAAGGAATGTTAACAACCTTCCTTTTGTAACTTAGCTACCCATACCTTTACCATGTCTACACACTGAATCATGCCATTCTCCCCTGCTAAGTTTTCTCCCTACCCAAACTCACCAAGCAGAGCTAATATTGTTTGGATAACTGAACTTTGCATACGTAACAAGTGGTATTAGAGCTGCCAATCCACGGATTACAACCATGCCACCGGACACTAGAACCATTGAGATCAAACGCATGGAAGACGTCATCGCAGCAGTCAAGCAGGACAGTGGCCAGAAGTATGAACAACTAGTTGACATACTGAAGGGATAGAGTTTAAAGTTTGATCAAACCATTGAGAATCAGGGGACACAGATTAATTATATAAGGCACATGATAGGCACCATGGCACAACAAATAGAGTTTACCCTCTTGAAACTCTCTCAAGCTCCAGGAAGCTCTAGTTACAACACTGAGAGGCCAGTTCCAAGTCCAGAGGGAGCTGAATTCAGGGGCAAAGAGCCTCGTGAGGATAGAATGTTGACTTACAAGGTACACCGACCCAAACATTTTTTCCCCACTTTCAATGGGGAAGATGTGCACAAATGGCTTTTTAAATGCACACAATATTTTGAGATAGAGGAGGTTGCAGATTCAGAGAAATTACAAATTGCATCTTATTATCTTGATGGAGTTGCTCTTTATTGGCATCAAAACTTCCTTAAAAGTTTAGGACACCAAAAAAACCTCATGGGAAGATTACGTGGAAGCCATTTGCTACCGGTTTGGGGGCCAACAAGACCCTCTAGAGGAACTGATGGAATTGAAGCAACGGGGAGAGTTGGAGGAATACATCCAGGACTTCGATATTTTATGGAACAAGGTTGAAGTAAATGAGAAACAAGCCTTGGTTATCTTCCTAGGGGGACTGGAAATAAAGATTAAAAACACAGTCAAGATGTTCGAACCAAAAACCCTTAGACATGCATATAACCTGTCTCGACTACAATCCAATACACAAACATACAGGAGATCCCCAGCCTACGTCAGAAGACCACCCACTATTTCCCAACACTATCTTGTGCCAGCCATGACTACTTTTCCATCACATTCCACAACCAACAGTGCAAACCCTCATGTAGCTCCACAAAAACCCACTCCGACTCCATGGACTAATAATCCTGGCAGTAGCTACATAAAAACCTACACAAAACCCACCAAATCCATTCACAACTAAGACTTTGAGGATAGAAGACTAAAGGGGCTCTGTTTTTGGTGCGATGACAAGTTTGTGCTAGGACACCGATGTAAGAATAAAAGAGTGTATTCCCTTAGTATTCTGGAGGAAGAAGAGGGATTAATGGAGGAAGAGGTAACCGAAGAAAGAGTTATTGAAAGGGAACTCACACCCCACATTTCCTTAGATGCTTTGGAAGGAACCGTGAGATTAAACACTATGAAGGTCAATGGCAAAATAGATAAAACTACAGTCTGTCTTTTGATAGATTCAGGCAGCACCCACAATTTCCTAAACACCACCTTAGCCCTTAAACTACAACTCCAGCTAACAACCATAAAACCCATGATAGTGCAAGCAGCCAATGGGGAGAAGATGGTATGCAAATCCATGTGCAGGGGACTTGGGTGGAAAATGCAGGGAATAAATTTCCAAACAGATGTGTATATCATTGACCTTAGCAATTGCGAAATGGTATTGGGAATACAATAGCTATCTATGTTAGGTGACATCTTATGCAACTACAAACACCTATGGATGTCTTTTGATTGGCAGGGGAGAGAGTCTTACTTAAAGGAGAAAATCGACCCAAGTTCCAGACCATTGAGCTCAAACAGTTGAGTTTTTTGGTACGCAATTAGAGGTAAGTGGCCGATTACTTCTAATGTAGTCTCAGGACGGTTGAAGATGGGGAAGAAAAAGCAACAGGCACAAGAACAATTACTACCCTATTCCCAGACATCAAGGATACTGATATGTTAAGTCTTCTTCAATCCTACCAGGATTTATTCGATGAACCGAAAGGATTGCCACCACCTAGAGCTCACGACCA